TCTTCTGCTTGACAGGATGGCTGCATTGGCCACAGATCAACTTCTGAAGGTGGTAGGCCTTAGAGTCATAGTGCAGAACAATGTGTGCGTCTTATTACAATGCTTTCCAAATGATGAAGTCCCCTTCATCATCTCGTTTAGGTGGCCAAGACCAAAGAGGTGGGGAGAGAAGCCACTGTGCAATAAATTTATAATAACTTTTTTAATATCCTTATTTGCTACTTCTTTTTTTTTTTAAGATTTTATTTATTTATTTGACAGAGAGGCACAGCGAGAGAGGGAACACAAGCGAGGGGTGGGGTGGGAGAGGGAGAAGCAGACTCCCCGCGGAGCAGGGAGCCCGATGTGGGGCTCGATCCCAGGACCCTGGGATCATGACCTGAGCCGAAGGCAGACACTTAACGACTGAGCCACCCAGGCACCCTTTATTTGCTAACTCTAACATGTGTGTCAGTTCTGGGTTAGTTGATTGCTTGATTATTCTCATTATGTGTGCTATTTTCCTACCTCTTTGCATACCTATTGATATTTGATTGTGGATTTTACTTTGTTGGATACTGGATATTTACACATTTTTATAAATTATTTTGAGTTTTGTTTTGGGACACAAGTAAGTTCCTTGGAAAGTTTTACCCTTACAGGTCAGGTCTTCCTTATATAATTTTTAGGTGTATCTAGAGCAGCACTCAACCTAGGGCTAATTATTCCCCACTATTGGGGCAATAGCTTCTGGAATTTTTTATGCAATGCCTTATTTTTCCAGTCTGGTTGGTGATCACAGGCACTATTACCAGCCATGTATGAGCATCAGACCCCATGGATGGTCTCACTGACCTTAGTTTCCTCACACACACGTGCTGATCAGTACTCTATTGAACACTCAAGGAGGGCCCTAGAGAGATCACTTGGATTTTCTCTCTCTGCAGTTTTCTCCATTCTGGTGGTTTGTCCTATGAATTCTAGCTGCCTTCTTCTCCTTAGACTCTCAGTTCCTTCTCAAGTCAGGGAATTCACCAGACTTTTCCTCAGTTACCCTTCTCTGTGCAATGCCCTGGCAAGTCTCTCAAGGAAGTATGCTAGACCAATCACAAGGTTCACTTCATTTGTTTCTCTTTCCTCAGGGATCACTGTTGTTCATTGCCGGATATCCAGGGCCTTGAAAACTGTGGGGGGTTTTTTTAATGTATTTTGTCTGTTTTTTTTTTTCTTTGTTTGTTCCAGGCCTAAGGGAAATATGGTCCCTGTGACTCCATCTTGGCTGGAATGAGTCACAGAAGAAAATCTATAAATGTGAAGATTTGTCAGTAGAGTCACCAATATGAGATATACTTGAGTTAGTGTGATTGTTATCAATAGGGAATACTGTAACCTGGGTTTGAGACAAGTATGCCAATGAACCTATATCAATGAATGGGGAACTTGTATCTATTAAGTGCTCATCAGTGTGGGATATATTGGGAAGTATTTAAGAAAGAGGAGATATGTTAATGTAGGCTGTCAATAAGAAATATTCCCCAGTATGTGAAAATTTGAGTGTGTTCAACTGAGATTTTCAATGTAAAAAATTTACAAAAATCAGAGAATCTGATTTTTACAAATCAGATCTGTAAATTGGGTTGTCAATGAGAGATATGCTTGATGAGTATTTAAGAACAAGGAGATTTTTCACCGGTGATCATCAATGGAGTTATATGGGTTGGGGGCAGTATTTATGAATATTGATCCTGATAAATGTGGAGCTAGCAAGCAGGGGTACATGGATAGGTGTACATGAATGGGGAGATATACAATAGTTATTGTGGTTTTTTGTTTGTTTGTTTGTTTTTAAAGATTTCTATTTATTTATTTGACAGACAGAGAGAGCACATGAGCGCACAAGCAGGGGGAGGGGCAGAGGGAGAAGCAGACTCCCTGCTAAGCAAGGAGCCCGATGAGGGGCTTGATCCCAGGATCCTGGGATCATGACCAGAGCCAAAGGCAGACACTTAACTGGCTGAGCCACCCAGGCGTCCCTATACAATAGGTATTGTATAGGCGAGTGTAGTATGTATCAACAGGAGTATTATGATCGGTATAGTTGTAAAACCAGCTGAGCAATACAGCATATGCCAATAGGCCGGTGTTTAAAAAATCAGGCAATTTGTCATTAAAGATCATAAACGAGTTATACAATCAGGTGAATATTTAAGAATATAGATTTTTGGGCGCCTGGGTGGCTCAGATGGTTAAGCGTCTGCCTTCGGCTCAGGTCATGATCCCAGGGTCCTGGGATCAAGTCCCACATCGGGCTCCCTGCTCCTTGGGAGCCTGCTTCTCCCTCTGCCTCTCTCTCTCTCTGTCTCTCATGAATAAATAAATAAAAATCTTAAAAAAAAAAAGAATATAGATTTTTTTTTCAAAGGCAAGCAACAATGGAGTATGTATTGTGAGGGTTATCAATAAAGAGAGATTTTTTTGAGAGAGTGCGTGTGTGCAAGGGGAGGGAAGGGGCAGAGGGAGAGGGAGAGAGAGAATCTTAAGCAGGCTCCATGCCCAGGCAGAGCCCAACATGGGGCTCGATCTCATGACCCTGAGATCATGACCTGAGCTGAAATCAGGAGTCAGATCCATAACCAACTGAGCCACCCAGGCACCCCAATAGAGATTTTTAAACAGGGGTTATATAGAGATTTATTTTACTAGTTTGTTATGTGCAAAATATCATTGGTGTTTATGTTATTCTTTAGTTTTTTTTATAATTTCAATTTTAATATATGTACTAACAAATCAAAAAAGATAAAACCTATGTGTTTCATAAATAAATAAATAAATAAATAAATAAATAAATAAATAAATAAATAAATAGGGGTTATAATAAGAAATACTCCAATGGGGGTGGCTGGCTGGCTCGGTGGGAAGAGCATGGGACTCTTGATCTCAGGGTCATGAGTTTGAGCCCCATGTTGGGTATAGAGATTACTTAAATAAAAATAAAACAACAAAAAAAAGCAGGCTTCTGGGTGGCTCAGTGGTTAAGCATCCAACTCTTGATTTCAGCTCAGGTCATGATCTCGGGTTTGGGAGATTGAGCCCCCTCGCCAGGCTCTGCACTGGGCATGGAGCCTGCTTTAGATTCTCTCTCTCCCTCTCCCTCTGCCCCTCCTCCCCTTCTCTCTTTCTCTCTCTCTAAAAAAAAAAGAAAAGAAAAAGAAATATGCCAATGGGTGTTTATGAATAAGATTTCTTAATGTCAGACACCTATGGTGATACGTCAATGGTTTTTATTTCTCATTGGGGAGATTTGTGAAGAGGGGTTGTGAATAGAGATATTTTAACGGGTATTTTTGAATGGAGTGTTTTTTTTCCCAAGAGGTTAATGGATGAAAGATTTGCCAATGGGTAGGTATTTATGAAAGGGGGGATTTACCAATGGGAACCATAAATGGAGATATGCCAGTGGGATATTCATGAATAAGTAGATAGCACAAAAGTGGCTGCAGTAGGCAGAATTCTGAGAATGACCCCCAATATTCCTATCACCCTTACATAAACTCCTCCCCTTGAATGTGGGTGGAATATGAAGACATGTAACTCCATGATTGTATTACATTAGGTAGCAAAAGGGATCTTGCAAATGAAATTAAGGTTAATCAGCTGACCGTAAAATAAGGAGATTATCCAGGTGAGCCTAATCTAATTAAGCACAGGCACCCTTCAAAAATGCAATTTTCTCCTGTTGGTGGCATAAGAGGACATCAGAGAAACTGAAAGTATGAGAAACATTTGGCACATCCTAATTGGCTTTGAAGACAAACAGGCCCATGTGGTGAGGCATGCAACTGGCCTCTAAAAGCAGGGAACAACCCCTGGCTGAGCAAAGAAATGGGAACCTCAGTATTACAACTGCAAGAAATTGAATTCTGCCAATAACCTGAGTAAGGTTGGAAATGGATTTTTCCTGTGAGCCTCCAGATAAGAGTTCAGTGTGGTCAATTTTGGTTTCGTGAGACCGTTAGAGAATTCAGCCAAGCTCTCGTGAACTTTGGACCTACAGAACTGTGAGGTAATACATGGATGTTGTTTTGCTGCTATGTTTGTGGAAATTTGTTACACAGCAATAGGAAACTAATAAAGTATTTGCCAGTTGGGTATTTATGAAAGAGGGGATATGCCATAAAGAGAGGGGACTTTTCAAGGTAATTATTTGCCAACGGCTTGGGGATTTGTCATCTGTAATCTTGCCAATAGTTGAGATTTATAAACAGGATTTGTCTACAATGGGGACTGCATAAAGGGGAACCAACTGTTATGGGTTGAATTGTGTCCTCCAAAAAGGTACAGTGAAGCTTTAACTCCCCAGTACCTTAGAATTTGGCCTTACTTAGAAATAGTAACAGGAACATTATCACTTGGGGGGATGGTTGTCCTCAGAAGTCTTTGAAAACATTGGTATTTGCCAGTGTGGGTATTTACACACTAGAAATTAGTGTATGAGCATCATTATCAGAAAAAAGACATTACAAATGAGCATTTTCATATTTGTAATATTTTGGGGAAAGACCATTAAAATCATGAGTTAAATTCAAAGTGCCAGTGTGCATGAAATTATTATTCCCAGTATTATACATTATTTCTAATATTATAAATTATCATTCCTAATAAAACATTATTTGCAATATTATAAGTAATTTACTAGGATTTATCACTACTAAGTTATAAATTATGTTTACTGTTACTACTCATAATAATAAGTAATACTTGGGGCGCCTGGGTGGCTCAGTGGTTGGGCGTCTGCCTTCGGCTCAGGTCATGATCTCAGGGTCCTGGGATCGAGCCCCGCATCGGGCTCCCTGCTCAGCGGGAAGCCTGCTTCTCCCTCTCCCACTCCCCCTGCTTGTGTTCCTGTTCTCGCTGTGTCTTTCTCTGTCAAATAAATAGATAAAATCTTAAAAAAAATTAGTAATACAGAGAGCTGACTAGGTGCCTGGCATTGTTTTGAGCACTTTATATATATGACTTCATTTAATATTCACACTGTTCCTATGAGTTAGGCATTATTTTTTTTTAAGATTTTGTTTATTTATTTGAGAGAGAGAATGAGATAGAGAGAGAGAGAGCATGAGAAGGGGGAGGCTCAGAGGGAGAAGCAGACTCCCTGCTGAGCAGGGAGCCCGATGCGGGACTCGATCCCGGGACTCCAGGATCATGACCTGAGCCGAAGGCAGTGGCTTAACCAACTGAGCCACCCAAGCGCCCTAGGCATTATTTTTAATACCCATTTTACAGATGTAAAAAACTAAGGCATAGAGAGATAATATGATTTCCCCAAGGACACACAGCTAGGACAAGGAAAAGGTAGGATTTTTTAGTCAAAATTGTAAGCAGACACTAATTAAAATTTTTTTCTTTAAAAAAATTACAAGGACTGAAATTTTAAAATACTGACCTAGTTAAAATCTTTTTTATTTTTATAATATTTTTTTCTTTTAAAACATTATTGAGGTGTAATTCACATACAATAAAATTTATCCATTTAATGTGACAATTAAATTTAGTATATTCACAAAGTTGCACAACCATCACAATAGAATTTTAGAATATCTTCATCATCCCAAAGAAGATACCCTGTACCCATTAGCAGTCTACTCTCCATTGCTCCCACCTCCTCCCACCCCAGCCATAGACAACCACTAATCTACCTTCTGTCTCCACGGTTTTGCCTGTTCTGGACATTTCATATAAATGGAGTCATACAGTATGTAGACTTTTGTGACTGGCTTCTTTCAAGTAATATTTTCAAACTTCATGCATGTTGTAGCAGTATCAGTACATCATTCAGTTTGATTAATGAAGACTATTCCGTTGTATGGATATACCATATTTTGATTATCCATTCATCCGTCAAAGGACATTTATGTTGTTTCCACTTTGGGGTGATTATGAATAATGCTGCTGTGAACATTTGTGTATAAGTTTTTATATGGACAGGTTTTCATTTCTCTTGCGTGGATACCCAGGATTGAAATTCCTGAATCATATGGTAACTCTGTTTAACATTTTTGAGAAACTTTCAAACTGTTTTCCAAAATGGCTGCACCATATTATGTTCCACCAGCAATGTAAAATGGGTTCAATTTTTCCACATCCTCACCAACACTTGTTGTTGTCTATACTTTTTTTTTTCCAGCCACACTAGTAGGTGTGAAGTGCTATCTCACTGTGGTATTTTTTTTCATTGCGGTTTTGATCTCCATTTCCCTGATGCCTAATGATGTTGAGCAGTTTTTCATGTGCTTAGGCCATTTCTATATCTCATTTGGAGAAATGTCTATTCAGATCCTTTGCCCATTTTTAAGTTGGGTTATTTATGTTTTTATTATTGAGTCATAAGAGTTCTTTATATATTCTAGATAAAGGATATGTGATTTGTAAATGCTTTCTCCCACTCTGTGGGTTAACTTTTTACTTTCTTGACAGTATTATTTGTAGAACAAAAGTTGTTAATTTTGATGAAATCCAATTTATCTGTTTGTTTTATAGTGTGTGCTTTTGATGTTGTATCTAAGAAACCATTAAGGGACAAGATTTTAATACAGATTTGGCTCCAGCATTTGTGTTCTCCATTACACTACATTACCTGTCTAGAAATTAAATCACTGTTACTAATATTACACATGAAGTTATTATTATGTGTTTTATGTTTTTTTATTATGTTAATCACCATACATCATTAGTTTTTGATGTAGTGTTCCATGATTCATTGTTTGCACATAACACCCAGTTCTCCACGCAGTACGTGAAAAATATGGAATGCTTCACGAATTTGCGTGTCATCCTTGCACAGGGGCCATGCTAATCTCTGTATCATTCCAATTTTAGTATATGTGCTACCGAAGCGAGCACTGTGTTTTGTGTTTTGACCTGAAAAAATACATCCATCAATCATCCTCCAACCCTAGCACAGACTTCAGAAGGATTCTGGGTAGGGACCACGAGGCCCATTTTTTAGGGAGAAGTATTGGGACTCAGTGGAGGGAAGGGCCGGCCCCCAGGCCACCCATTGAACTGGACACCCCCCCCTTGCTGTACACTTCACAGGGCTGTCACCCCCACCTGCTTCCTCTCAGCCATCAGTCTCTCCCAAGCAAATTCACACCCAGACACATGGAATGCTGGGGTGGAAGGTAACTCACTTTACTCACTTTGGTGGATTTTCTAGAAGGGCAACGGGAGAAATGTAGTGACTCCAGGACTACAGATAGCCTGCCAGGAGCCACACAAGGACTCTGAAGTAGGAAGCCTCTCTGTAAGGTATGCTTCTCCAGGCAGCCACAACTAAAGGGAACTACCTGGAAGGAAGGTGCTCCCTCTACAGCCTGAAACTCCTTGCTGTTTAATACCCCCCAGCCACATCCAGTGTATACAAAAGTCCTTGGTGTTGAAAAACAGTTGGATAAACAAGAAAATAAGCAGGTGTGAACATACCTAGGATTGAGGTAACAACTGGGAGAGTAAGGTAAATTATTCTAGGCACTGGGGAAAAAAACCAGAAGCAGCAGGAACAGTCTGTAGTTCCAGACAATAGCCAGGGCTGAGGAAATATTCCAGGACACTAGAAAACAGCTATAGGGGCAGGAAACAGTCACTGCAGTGATGTGAAACAGTCAAAGACTATCAAACAGCCAGAAGGACAGAACAGTCCTTATAGTTAGAGGATAGCCATAGAAACTCTAAAACGGCCAAATGGAAGTCATTCCTAAATGTTATGCAATAGCCAGAAATACCTAGGAGACAGCCAGAGAGATAAGGGAACAGGCTCTGGCTGAAGGAATAGCCAGAGAAACAAGGAAACAGCTGGAGGGACAAGGGGACAGTGTCTGGACCTGAGGAACAGCAGGATCATCAAACATCCGGAGACACAACAAAATAGTCCTTGTATTTGGAAGATAATCAAAGGGACTGCAGAACAGCCAGGGCAACAGGGGATAGACCCTAAGGATCAGACCACAGCAAAAAAAAAAAAAAAAAAAAAAAAAGACCAAGGAATAAGCTCTGAAGTACAAGGAACAGGAAAATAAAATAGCAGTCTGAGGGACTGGGGAACCACCAGAGCCCAAGGAAAAATTGCAAGGACTGAAACAATAGCCAACAAACCAACATATGGAGATCAGGGAATAATGGCTGGTCCTAATATAGGGTCATCAGAAACTGTGGGGAGTAATCACAGCGATCAAAGACACTATACTTATGACTAGTGGGAATTCAACAGTCACGGGAATTAATACAATGCCAGCAGGCATAGCTAGGGGGGACTACTGGGAGTCAAAGACACTGTACTGGTGGCTAATACAGGATCATCTGAACCATGAAGGGCTCTAATGTAGGGTAGGCTCTAATGAGTTCCAGGCATTATGATGAGGTCCATACCAATACACAGTACTAGGGAATAATGAGGGACCAGCATCTAGCATCCACAGGGATGGGGGTAGTAAATGAACTGATGCTGAGATAGAGACAAAACCACTTTAGTGGTGGTTAATGGCTAATCAGCAGAGTGACTAAGGGCTAAGGGCTGATTTTTTTTATGATCAAAAACACTGTATTTGTGACCAATATTGGTAGACAGTGATGACACTAATACAGGGTCAGCAACAGATGCCATGACTGAGAAGCATGAGGCAAAGATTAATGAACAGTCAGTGTTGAGGCTAATATGATATTAGCATACACAGTGATGAACTCTAATGTATGGTCAACATGCATTCTGCCAGGGCATCATTGCATTCTGACGCTCTATTAGTGGCTAATGAGGGATCAGCAGGAACAGTGATGAGGGTTCCTGCAGTCACAAGCACCCTGATTGGAACTTAGGAGGGTCAAAGACACTGTAGTTATGGCTAAAGGGTGATCAGCAAAGTGGGGCTAATGTGGAAACAGCAGATACTGTACTGGAAGCTCATGGAAGTTAGTCTCAGCTCTTGTGGCTAGCTGGGGATCAGCATACAGCAGGATGGTAGCTAAGGAGGATCTGCAAATACATTGCTGGGGCCTCATGGGTGTCAAAGAAACTACTATTGGCTAATGGAGGATCAACAGACACCACGAAAGGGGCTAATGTGGAGTCGGCAGACTTTACTGAGGCTTCAACTGGTCAAAGACACAATATTAGTGGTTAAAGGGAGGAGATTTAGCAGAAACAATGATTTGGCTACTGTAAAGACAAAAAACATGGTGATGCATCCTCAAGAAGGAGTTCATACTCTGCCAGTGGCTAGTAAATCAAAAGACACTTTGGGGTGCCTGGGTGGCACAGTTGGTTAAGCTTCTGACTGTTTTGGCTCAGCTAGTGATCTCAGGGTCATGAGATTGAGCCCCGTGTCAGGCTCCGTGCTCAGCACAGAGTCTGCTTAAGATTCTCTCTCCCTCCCCTCTCCCCACTGTGCTCACGCTCTCTCTCCCTCTCTAATAAATAAATAGATCTTTAAAAATCAATCAATAAGGGACACCTAGGTGGCTCAGTTGGTTAAGCGTCTGTCTTCTGCTCAGGTCATGATCCCAGGACCCTGGGATAGAGCTCCATGTCAGGCTCTTTGCTCAGCAGGGAGCCTGCTTCTCCCTGTCCTTCTGCCTGCTGTTCCCCCTGCTTGTGTGCTCTCTTTGTCAAGTAAATGAATAAAATATTTTTTAAAAATCAATCAATCAATCAAAAGACACTGGCGTATGGTCAGCAGATACACTGATAGGCTATAGTGTAGGGTCAGAGGACACAGTGATGGGGGCTATTTTAAGCAGACACCACTGGGTCTCAAGGTTAAAAATCTTGAAGCTTGGTAAACAGGGGATCAAAAGACAGAGTGACAAGGTCATCTGAGTTCTGCAGATATTGTATTGGGGCTCAGAAGGATCAAATTCACCACACTGGTGGATAACCAGGGAACAGCAGATGGATACTGGTGCAATTGCACTATGCTGTGGGTTCATGGGGGTCAGACAATGACTATGGATGGTAATAAACATCACCATAATGATAGCATCCAATGTAGGATTAGCAGACACTGTGATTAGAACACATTGGGTTGAATATATTATATGGTAGCCAAGGTCAAAAGACACTACATTAGGTCTAAAGGAAGGTGACAAGACACGTTACTGTGAGTTAATGGGAGGTCAGCAGTCACCATGCTGAATCTAAAGGAAGGCAAAAAAAACCACAAAACACCATATTGAGTTAATGGAAGATCATCAGTGATGAAGCTTAGAGGCTAAAGGGGTGAAAAGACACTCTGCTGTGAGCAAACAGGTCAGCAAAAATTGTAATGGCAGCTAAAAGGGGTGGTGAGACATGATGCTATGAGCTAATGGGGAGTCAGCAGACTTTGCTGGAGCAAAAGGTTGTGATAAGACAAGATATTGTGAGCTGATGGCAGGTCATTGTACAGACACTGTGCTCTAGGCTAATAGAAGTGAAAAGAAGTGCTGTAAGTTAACGGGGTATTAGTAGACACCATGCTGACATATCCTGGGGGTAAAAACTACTGTGGTGCTGGCTAATGGAGGATCAAGAGGGACTGTGCTTAAGGTATTAGGAGTCAAATACACACAGTAGTGTTGGCAGTGAGGGATCACTACACAAGTAATGCTTACTAACTGAGGGTGAGTACAACCCATCACGGGGCCTCAGTGAAGGTCATCTTCATGCAGCAAGGCCATTTCTAAAGCCTTGGGAGGACTAAGTCTCCCATTGCCAGTGTCTTTTATCTGATCTAGTGATCAAGATTCCTGGTTTTCTCCCTGGAAGCCCACATCTGGCTCCTGGTGTGGAAACAGGTAATTTTTTTTATTGTTGTTTTTAAACTTTAATTAAGATATAATTTATATCAATAAAGTGCACAAATCTGAAATTTACTCATTTGATAACTTAATATGCATTTCAAACAAGATACAGAATCGTTCTATCACCCCAGGAATTTCCCTCCTACCCTTAGGAGTTAATCCCCATTGATTAACAACCACCCATCTGCTTTCTGTCACTATAGATTACTTCTTTTTATGTTTGACATTTTCCATAATAATAATAATAATAATAATAACATTAAAACATAAAATTGAAAATTTTTATCGATGAGCTGAAGATTAAAAGAATCAGTAAGAAAACATCTTGATAAATATAATTAATACTCAGTAAATGAGGGTGAGGGCATGCTGTTTAAAAAATGCATAAAGTGTAATATATACATTCAAGTGTATGCTGTATTTGGGGGCATCTGATGATTAATTCAAATATCCTGGGTCTTCTATTTATTATGAAACATCCAGAAAACAAAACAAAAACATGTATTTAATTTAGCATCAATTTACTATAGCATGATGCTACCAAATACTAACGGTAAAGGACTCACTTTTGAGGATCAAAATGGTGCATCAGAAAACATTCTCAGGGTGCCTGGCTGGTTCAGTCAGTAGAGCATGTGACTCTTGACCTTGGGGTCATGAGTTCAAGCCCGATGGTGGGCCTAGAGCTTACTTAAAAAAATAAATAAATAAAAAGATGAGCTTTAAAAATAAAACATTCTCAAAGTTGAGAAGTTTGTCACTAAACCTTTTAAAGGGTATTTTTCAGGCAAAGAAGAAAATGATCCTGGATGGAATGCAGAAAGGAATGAAGAGCAACCAAGGTGGTAAACGTGTGTAAAATGAAATGAACATATAAAACAAAAATGTTTTCGGGGGATATATAAGTGTGTATCTGTGTGTGTGTGTGCATGTATGTATATATATATTATTATATATATATATACACATATATATATTACATATAAATATTTATATAAACCCCATAATACGTCATTATATTTTGAAATATATATGTACATATAGGTATATGAGCGAAGTTTCTTTTTTTTTTTTTTTTTAAAGATTTTATTTATTTGAGAGAGAGAATGAGAGACAGAGCACACGAGAGGGGGCAGTGTCAGAGTGAGAAGCAGACTCCCGCCGAGCAGGGAGCCCGATGTGGGACTCGATCCTGGGACTCCAGGAACACGACCTGAGCCGAAGGCAGTCGCTTAACCAACTGAGCCACCCAGGCGCCCCTATGAGCGAAGTTTCTATTAAAAATTAGCTTTAAAAGACAATTTTCTGGAGAAAACCATAAAATACTATTGAAGGTCAAAAAGGTGAGTTAAAAAATAAAATATAGACAAACCATATTCATGGATACAATGGCTTAAAGCCATTTTACACCTTTCAGACTGGCAACAATTTGAAAGACTGATAAGTCCATGGGAAAATGTAAACTTCATCTCAAACTGCTCATGAGAGTATAAATTAGTACAACCTAGAGGGAAGAAATCCAATTATTTAACAAAGTTGAAAAACTTCTGTATCAATCTGAAGAACCCAGCTAGGGGACAGAAACGTTACCGGTTATTTTAGTGAAAAGAACTTATTATAAAGAATTTTTAACTAGTCACAAAGTTATTAACCATATACCTGAAAAGACAGAAAGAGAACATTAAAATTATCATGGAGGTAGCAACTGCAAGAAGCAGCTGGGCTAAGGTTAACCAGGGAAGAAACTGGAATTATTAAACATTGAAAAGGTGGAGGAGTAGTGTCATGTGGGTGGGACTCATACCTCTAAGGAGGTGGCACCGCCAGCCGCTGCTAGTGTCTCTGAGGGGGTGGGTGGGGTACCGTAGGCTGTTCTGTGAGTGCTGGAAATCTGTAACCTGGATTAAACTACTACCACCCTGAGGAAGTGCTGCTGGCCAAGGGAAGAAGCAATACCGGACTGACACTCAGATGAACAGGGAGCTAACAGGAAGGGAAAAAAAGGAGCAGGTCCCTTCTACCTTCCTTACCCCCAAAGTTTATATTTAGTGTTTCTTATTGGCAAGGCCCAACAGGAAGCAGATGGCAAGACAGAAACATGTTTTGTAGAGTCACAGCCCGAGCATGACAAAGCACAGTGTAGAAGGGGCGCGTTGGAGCTAGGGTACAACAGTTTAACAACTTAAACACTGCCTACACTCTATGACCCAGCAGTTCCACTTGTAGATTTAGACACCAAACACAGAAACGATACACATGTCTTTCACCAGGGGAATGGAGAGAGAAATGCATGAACCAGACCTATATTTGTCAACATGGATAGACCTTGGAAAGGTAACACTGCATGAAAAAAGCAAGCTGCAGAACTTTCAACACCATGTAATACCATTTATGTAAAGTTTTTAAAAGCAACAGAGTATTATATACTGTACAATTCACACTATACACACAAAAACTTTCAGGATAGATGAAAAATTCTCAATGTTGAAAGGAAAACCTTAACTTTACAGGAAAGAATAGGAGAACATTATCACCTTGAACCTGATAATATTCAAACATAAAACCTCAGCAGAAGACTTAACAAAATTAAATAACCAGGCACAGTCCATGAGGAGATATCTGTAACACACATGACTGAAAAAGATTTTTAAATTCTCATATATTAAAAAACAAACATGACACTTAAACCAAGAAGTAAAAAATAAGCAGCCCATTATAAACAATGAGCAAAGGATATAGAACAGTCAGTGAAGAGAAGAAAAAACCCAAATGGCCAACCAACAGGTAAGAAGCTACTCCACCTCACCATTAATTAGGGAAATCCAAATGAAATGAAAACAACAATGAGCCTATCCCCTAACGGGAATCAGGATGTATTTTCACACCAGTGTAGGAGCCAAACTGTTACAGGTGTACTCTGTGTGCGTGGTGACCAGATGACCCAGAGGGCTTGATCAAATGGTGATGGAAGTCTTCACAAAGAAGCTTTCTCCACAGTACAAGGCAAGGGCCGGCCTATGTGAGTTCTCTGATGTTCTGTGAGGTGTGCTTTCCGGCAAAAGGCTTTCCCACATTCTTGACATTCAAAGGGTCTCTCTCCTGTGTGAATTCGCTGATGTTCAATGAGGCGTACTTTGACATAGAAGGCATTTCCGCATTCACTACATTCATAGGGTTTCTCTCCTGTGTGAGTTCTCTGGTGTTGACAAAGGGATTTCTTCATACTGAAGATTTTTCCACATTCACCACATTCATAGGGTTTCTCTCCAGAATGCATTCTCTGATGTTCAATGAGGCGTGCTTTCACATAAAAGGCATTACCGCATTTATTACATTCGTAAGGTTTTTCTCCTGTGTGAATTCGCTGATGTATCCCAAGAGATGAGTGTACCCTGAAAGATTTCCCACATTCATTGCATTGATAGGGTTTTTCACCTGTGTGAGTTCTCTGATGATTATTGAGAGTCATTTTCATTCTGAAGAATTTCCCACATTCATCACATTTATAGGGTTTCTCACCTGTGTGAATTCTTTGATGTTGATTTAGGGATTTCTTTGCACGGAAGTTTTTCCCACAGTCACCACATTCATATGGTTTCTCCCCTGTGTGAGTTCTCTGGTGTTGGGTAAGGGATATCTTAACTCGAAATGTTTTTCCACATTCGCTACATTCATAGGGCTTCTCTCCTGTGTGAGTTCTCTGATGAATCATGAGGGTTGCCTTCTCAGAAAAGGTTTTCCCACATTCAGTACATTCATAGGGTCTCTCTCCTGTGTGTGTTCTCTGATGTAGAATGAGTTGTGACTTCCTGCCAAAAGATTTCCTACATTCATTACATTCAAAGGGTTTCTCCCCTGTGTGAGTTTTCTGATGAGCAATGAGGTATGATCTTGCACTAAAGGTCTTTGCACATTCACCACATTTATAAGGTCTCTCCCCTGTGTGTATTCTCAGATGTTCAATAAGATTTGATTTCCTGCAGTAAGTTTTCCCACATTCATGACATCCAAAGTTTTTTACTCCTGTGTGTGTTCTTTTATGTCCAACAAAGCCTGTTTTCTTGTAGAAGACTTTCCCATATCCATTATATTCAACAGCTTGATCCAAAGTTTGAATCCTCTGATGCCGAAGGTCATTATCATGCCTGACGGCATTACCCCCAACAGAATTGTTGCCACACAGCATTGAGAGAGATCCTTTAAAAACAAACCAGATCACTTTCACTTAAAACTCAACAATGGCTTCCCTTGTTACAGTGTCAAATTAAAGTGCTTAACAAAGCCTATAAAACATAATCTATAAAAAAGCACTTAACATAGCCTAAAAAACTCCACATAATTTGGCCCCTAGCTAACTCTCTTGATATTGCCTCTTACCACTCTCACCACCCACCATTAAGCTACACTGGCCTCTTTGCTATTTTTAGGATATATCACTCAGGCCCAGCCTGACACGTACTATTCTCTCTACCCAGAATATTCAAAATCTACATGGTTCTGTCTCTCTCACATCACTGATGTTGGAGCACTAATGTTAACCTCACCAAAAAGTCTTCCCTGAGCACATTCTCTACAAGCACACAACCATCATTATCTATCTTACTTATCTTGCACTGATTTCCTTTTTACCACCAAACATTATGTATTTGTTTCTGGTCTCTTTCCCTCATCAGACTGCAAGCTCCAGGAGAACAGAGATACTAGTTTATTCACTGCTGGCCCCTACACTTCGAATATGACCAGATTAGAGCTGATACTCATTTAAGATTTGGTGGAACACTGAATGAATGAATGAGTGAATGCCTGACAACAGAAGGCATCCAAGGCAATGGCGGGAAGGAAGGCAATTTAGAATACTAAAGAGAGACAGACCAGCTAAGAATGTCTTACTTAGATGAGGCAGGCAGGGATAGATAAGAGTGGTAGATAACTACAGAAATCAAAATAAAATAGGACAGAGTACTTAAGTGTGAGCAAAATAATGGCATGTGTGATTTCGGTATGAAGCGTGTAGACCTTATGTAACCTCCAGTCATTTTCAAAGAGCAAGGGCCTCTATAAAGAGATTACTGAAGAACACTGCCCAAAGTGTTTTGACCTGAATTTCCGGGCTCTTATTTCCCGTTTCTGTATGTCTGGTTATTGCACACTCACCTGGGTATCCATGGCCTGAGGATTCCTCCTCTAATATCCACAGCTCTTCTCCTCGCTCCAACTTGAAGATCATCTCTGGTTTGGCCACGCAGAGGCCTGTTAATGGGAAATGGCACAGGACATGGGCCAAGTTGTCTGAGCTTAGGGCCTCTGATGGAGGAGGAAGGTGCATCTTCATGAGCTGCACAAGGAAGGGGTCCCATTTAAACCTTTCATTGGGGGAAGTGACAACACACACACTCTTCCTGGTGCCCCAAACTGATCAATCACCTGTGACCCTTGAATCTAGAACTAAAGTATCATTAAAGTCTACAAAGGCTGCACACATTACAGTAACCAAGAAAGGAAACACATGCTACCAGGAGTTACATGGACAATAATCCTCACCCACAGATGCCAGGTTGCTGTAGTTCTCCAACATCACATCCTTGTGCATGGTCCTCTGAGCAGGGTCCAGTCTGTGCCATTCCTGTCGGGTAAAATCCACAGCCACGTCCTCAAATGACACAGATCCCTGCAACAACAATCTGCAATTATCAGAATGGGACACACGGAGAAGATGTGTGGAAACTAATTTTTCTCCACAGAGCACTATTAAGAGTTAACCAGGAGCCACACTGGTGACCTGACTCTGTGTCTTGCTTGATATTATACTTTGTTGGGGGGAAAATCCAAAACAGCCCTGCTTTGTGTTAATTTATCAATCCCTGAAGAAAAGACTATTGACTACTGAGTTAACACTATGTACCTGGACCTGTCTCAGTTGTTGGTTAAACAAAAAGGAATAAGAGGCACCTGGGTGGCTCAGTCCATTGGGCATCTGCCTTCAGCTTGGGCCATGATCCCAGGGTCCTGGGATCAAGCCCCGTATCGGGCTCCCTGCTCAGTGGGGAGTCTGCTTCTCCCTCTCCCTCTGCCCCACCCCCAGCTCGTGCTCTCTCTCTCTCTCTCAAATAAATAAATAAAATCTTAAAAAAAAAAAAAAAAACAAGAAAACAAAAAGGAGTAAGATGGAGTGCTTGGGGACGCCTGGGTGGCTCAGTCGGTGAAGCATCTGCCTTCGGCTCAGGTCATGAGCCCAGGGTCCTGGGATTGAGTACTGCATCGGGCTCCTTGCTCAGCGGCGAGCCTGCCTCTCCCTCTGCCTGCCACTCCCCCTGCTTGTGCTTGCTCTCTCTCTCTGACAAATAAAATCTTTAAAAAAAAAAAAAAAGATGGGGTGCTTGTTCTCAAAGAGCTCATGCCCCAATAGAGACCTGTATATAAACACATTCTTGCAATGAGGTGTTACGGGAGCTGTGCTAGACATGTGTGCAAGGTGCAGTGGGCTTTCACAAGGGATGGAATGGGACTCCACTTTGTGTTATCAGGTTCAACTTCACTTGGGGAGATAGAGGTTTGAATCCTTAAACAAGAATATAATTGCCCTCAAAAAATATGGGGCAATAGCATAAGAAAAGGCAGGAAAACATGAAATACACATGGTGAGTTATGGAAAAACATATGACAGTATGACAGAAAAACAGCACTTCAGGCTATGATGAAATAAAGGGCTGTAGAGACATTCAGGGGCCGGAGAGTGGAGGGATTTTCGACTCTTTTTTTCTCCAGGTCATCAGTCTCTAAGACTGACTCCTTATACCATCAGAATATTTTCTGACCTTCCCACAATATATTTATATTTATAAATTATACAGAAGTACTGTCAAGTGGGGGAAAAGCGCAGACTATTAACTCCCCAAAAAATGGCGTGAGCAGATGGGTTGAGGCTGGTGCCATATATTGAGATCAGCAAAACAAGAGAGATACTAGGTTGGCAGAAGGGGAAATTAAAATAGATCTTGGATCTCAGCTGGAGTGTTTATGACACATACTGATAGACATCCAGCTGGCAGGTGGATATATGATTCTGAAGTTCAGAAGAGAAGGCTAGGATAGGCCAAGGATTGGGAGGTAATAGCACTTCAGTACTGGCTGAAGCCACCAGAATAAACTGGATGGTTAAGAAAAAACAAAGAGCTTGAGAGAAGCACCAAGTAAGTACTGAGTCAGCAGGGACACCGGAATTACATGAAGCTTGAAGGAGGAGGGTACTGTGGGACAGAGAAAATGGGTGAAATCCTGTTGTTGTTTTTTCATGCACTCCTGCCCCAAAGTGAGCCCCAGAGCCAAAGCTGCAACCTTGTAGCAGCAGACATCTCACGCTCTAAGGAAGAGAAATCCTTTTCTTTGGCAAGGAGAATAGTGGTCTGAAGCATGTAGAAAGGATCCCCATTGCCTTTTCTCTAACCTCCCACCACTTGGCCCCAAGGGCAAATGCAGTTATAGAAAGTGAGTGCCAAAGTGGAGAGACTAAAGCCCTAACTGTCCAGCCAAAAGACCATGGAGGGGATCGTGGGGGATCAGGACTGCGGGGGAGACTGCCCTAATAAAATAGCCTCAGAATACATGAACAAAACTCGGCCACCTGGGTGGCTCCGTCGTTAAGCGTCTGTCTTCGGCTCAGGTCATGATCCCAGGGTCCTGGGATCAAGCCCCACATTGGGCTCCCTGCTCGGCGGGGAGCCTGCTTCTCCCTCTCCCCCTCCCCCTGCTTGTGTTCCCTCTCTCCCACTGTCTCTCTCTCTGTGTCAAATAAATAAATAAAATCTTTAAAAAAAAAAAATACATGAACAAAACTGAAAGAACTAAAAGGAGAAATGGGCAAATCCACACTTATGGCTGCTTTCAACACTTCTCTTACTAATAAAAGTAACTAGTAGACAGAAAATCAACAGGAATATAGAAAAACTGAACACCACCAACCAACCAAATGACTTTGCAGAGCATTCCACTCAAAAATACAGAAATTAAGTTTCTTCAAGTACACATGAACATTCACCATGCTAGAACAAACCCGGCATCATAAAACAAGCCTCAACATAATCAAAGGCCCGTTGGGTACCAAGGAAAATTGACCTGGAACAACCAACTCTGAGATATATCTTAATAAAACAATTAGAGGGCGCCTGGGTGGCTCAGTTGGTTAAGCGACTGCCTTCGGCTCAGGTCATGATCCTGGAGTCCCGGGATCGAGTCCCGCATCGGGCTCCCTGCTCGGCGGGGAGTCTGCTTCTCCCTCTCCCACTCCCCGTTTGTGTTCCCTCTCTCGCTGTGTCTTTCTCTGTCAAATAAATAAATAAAATCTTTAAAAAAAATAAAATAAAATAAAATAAAACAATTAGAATTTAAAGACAAAGAAAATTTTCATCAGGGCCTCTAAACAAAAAGATGAAATAACTTCCAAGACAAGAGAATTAAACTGGCATCAATTTCTCAAAAACAAAGCAACAGTATACAGTATTTTCAAGAAAGTTATGGGAAAAAAGTACAAACAAAGGAGAGTCTATGCTTTATACTTGATACTCTTCAAGTATCAAGGCTATTAGAAGAACAGCGGAGTGTGCCAAAACAGTTGTGCTCTTCCTAAAGAATTTAATAGAGCTGCACTGTCCAATTCGGTAGCCACTAGACACATGTGGCCAGTTAAATTTAAGTTTTGATTAACTAAAATAGAATAACACAGAAAATTCAGTTTCTCAGTCACATCAGGCATATTCCCAGTGTTCAATAGCCACATGGGCCTAGTTACAGTCCTAGACAGCAGAGATACAGAACATGCTCATCACTGTAGGAAATTCTATTGGCCAGCACTAAACCAAATGATGAGTTTCATCCAACCAAAACCAATGAATAGGAAAATTTTGGCAAAAGCCTAACAGTGAGCATTTCATATACTTATTGTAAAGCTAAGACTAAAACAAGGCTGAGGTCATGGGTTGAAGGATAATGTATAAATATCAAGCTGTTCTGACAAAGTAGAAAAACAACTAAAAATGGAAGGACAATAGAAAGAAGAAGAGAAAAGATGAATAAGATCATTGACTGCTATATAGGTAAAGGTGAGAGACAAATGAGATGTTATAAAAGATTAATAAAGAAACAAAGGTAGGGGCACCTGGTTGGCTTGGTCAGTGGAGTGTGTGACTCTTGATCTAGGGGTTGTAAGTTCGAACCTCACCTTGGGTGTAGAGATTACTCAAAAATAAAATCTTAAAAAAAAAGGTAACTTGGTACAGCCATTATGGAAAACAGTATGGAGATTGTTCAGAAAGTTAAAAATAGGAGCATCTGGGTGGCTCAACTGGTTAAGCATCTGCCTTCGGCTCAGGTCACGATCCCAGGCTCCTGGGATTGGGCCCTACATTGGGCTCTCTGCTCAGTGGGTAGCCTGCTTCTCCCTCTCTCTCTCTCTCTCTCTCAAATAAATAAAATCTTTAAAAAAAAACAAAACAAAAACTAAAAAATTAAAAATAGAACTATATGATCCAGCAGTCCCACTTCTGGGTATATATCTGAAGGAAATGAAATCACTATCCCAAAGAGATATCTGTACTCCCATGTTCATTGCAGCATTATTCACAATAACCAAGATATGGAAAACAACCTTAGTGTCTATCGATAAAAAAGATGTGGTATATATATATACAACCAAATATTATTCAGTCATGAGAAGGAAGGAAATCCTACCACCTGCAACAACTTGGATGAAACTGGAGGACATAATGCTAAGTGAAATGAATCAGACAGGGGCACCTGGGTGGTTCAGTTGGTTAGCATCTGCCTTCGGCTCAGGTCCTTATCTCAGGGTCCTGGGATTGAGCTCCATATTGGGCTCCCTTCTCAGCAGAGAGTCTGCTTCTCCCTCTCCCTCTGTGCTCATACTCGTTCACTCTATCTCAAATAAATAAATAAATAAATAAATAAATCTTAAAAAAAAAAGAAGAAGAAGAAATGAGGGATGCCTGGGTGGCTCAGTTGGTTAAGCATCCACCTTTGGCTCAGGTCATGATCCCAAGGTCCTGGGATCAAGTCCCGCATGGGGCTCCTTCCTCAGCAGGAAGCCTGCTTCTCCCTCTGCCTGCCGCCCCCCCGCTTATGCTCTCTGACAAATAAATATTTTATATTATTTTTTTTATTTACTTGAGAGAGAGAGCACAAGAGGGGGAGCGGCAGGCAGAGGGAGAAAGCAGGCTCCCCACTGAGCAAGGAGCCCGATGTGGGGCTCGATCCCAGGGCCCTGGGATCACGACCTGAGCCGAAGGCAGTTGCTTAACCAACTGAGCCACCCAGGTGCCCCTCTCTGACAAATAAATAAATAAAATCTTTAAAAAAAAAAAGAAAGGAAATGAATCAGAGAAAGACAAATACTGTATGATTTCACTTATATGTGAAATCTTTAAAAAAGGTGAAACTCAATAGAAGTAGAGTAGAATGTTACCAAGGGTATGGGGAAAATGAGGAGATGTTGGTCAAAGAATACAAAGTCAGTTATGTAGATGAATGAAGTCTAGAGATCTATGGGGCACCTGGCTGGCTTAGTCAGTGGTGCATGGGATTCTTGATCTCAGGGCTATGAGTTCAAGCCCCACGCTGGGTATGGAGATTACTTAAAAATAAAAATCTTTAAAACAA